ATTCCCAAGTCCACTTCGGATGCATGGTGATTATTTCCATAGTCGTTTTTAAGTTCTATTAACAAGGCTCTCGGAGAAGAATTATTTCTAACCCTTATATTACCTTCAATTCTCTTTGCAATAGAACTAGAGTATTAAAGAGAATTTCATTGCTCCCTCTCTTCTTTCGAATAAGAGAACAATTATGTATGTAAAGTAGCTAATTAAACACACATATAAATCATTAACAACAACTCTTTAATAAACTAAAATCATACCGTTAACATACTTAAACTATATAAAACTCTCTCGTCTCCCCTATAAAGTTTAGCTCTCCATACAAACCGAATTAAACAGAGGAACCCACATCTTAATCATATAAAATTGATAGAATAAGAAAAGAGAGTAAAAAAATAGAGAGTTATCCAGCTTTGTTGCTGTTGTTCAATGGAAGTTCCCTTCTTTTGAGCTCTCACGCCCACCTCTTTGCCCTAATCTATCCTTCTTGGTCTTTTCTTCCTTCTGCTGTCAACAGCTGCTGAATTAGAGTTTTTCTTCTTCTTCTCTAGTTTCATAGTAGTTCACAGCAGTAGAGGCTCTGCTGTCTAATCCGATTTTTCTCTCCCAAAGTGTGGCCCCCCCTTCTTGGTTCTTTTTCCTTTTATATTGAGCGTGAGTTCCTCTTTATGGCTGAAAAGAAATAAGTTATCCACATAAGATGTTCCTCATTAGGTAGTCAATGACCCACTTGGATTGTTGAGTGGATTTAAAATTTCCATGTTATCCCCCATTTGTTTCCAAATTTGCTACTCCATCATGGTTCAACATAAATGTCTGAAATTTTACCACATAATTCAATTAAATGTACAATTAAGATCGATTTATGCCAAATCATATTCTTTTCATGTTGGGCTACGATTTCAAGCTCACTAATTAGAATAAATGAAGTAATAAATGAGAAAATGGTGAATAAGAGTGCAACATTAACTACAAAAAGACTTGATATGACTCTACTTTTCGAGAGTTCTCAGCGTATGCTATGTGATGATGGTGATCATGCCGCGCATGACATGTAGGGGTATGCTGATCTCTAGACGTTTCTACGGACAGATAGCTCGACTATGATGGATCTAAGGGAGGTGCGAATCGCCTGGGGATTCACACTCCCAAGTGTGGGTTGTGTGTAGGGAAGTACTACACATTCAATTTAGTTCGGACTGGAGGTCACCCCTATAATGGTTTTTAACGATAGGTCTCTAGAGCATAACTTACATGTGTTTGCATTTTTATGACCCTAATAGTGGGGTTACTTACAAAGTATTTCTCGAAATACTCAGGCCATGTACTACAACTATTTCAGGTAAAGGCAAGACACTCATTTGACAACATTGCAATTAGAGACCATGACATTTGTATTGGCTAGTAGCATTCTTATGAGGTTTTGGTCACTAGTGACATTTGCATCTGCTATCATGGTCTCACCATCCTTAGACTTAGGTTAGTTTAGGTGGTTTTACCTTTTAAGTTTTTTACCTTATTTATTATTATTGTTTTATCCTATTTTTGAATTATGTTTTCGAACACGTGAGACCATAATAGTGTTTTACAGATGATGTTATATTTTTAAGATGAAATTATGATTTATTATGATGCTTGGAGAGTTAAATTCTAAGAGTTTAGACTAAGATAACGATAGCGAATTTAGCTGAGTAGAAATTTAGATTAGTTACCCGTGGTATTTTTTAGTGGTCTATTTTGAAATATTAAGTGCTAATTCTTTTTGTATTAGTAAAGGTCTTTTGTGTATACATTTTTTAGCTTGTTTATATGGAATCTTGGTAGACGTAAGAAAAATAATTCAATTGGAGCATTTTTATTATTTTTATTTTGTTTTTCTTTTTTATTTGCTTGATTAGTCTATTCTTATGCCCTAGAGAATGTGCCAACAAAAGTCTGTTGGTTTAAGACTTTGACCAACTTCTTGAAATTAAAGGTATGGAATCTAAAACAAGTTACCATATCACAAAGATTTTGATGTAATTGTTATATTAAGTTCTTCACCTTTGGTGCCATTCACAACTCCACACATTCTTATTTTGTCAGCCCTTTTTAAAAACTATCTATTTTTTCAAATGAGTTGCTTAATATTCTCAGATTAATTGCTAAATCTGATGATGATTTAATTGTTGCTCAATGTTCCAAGATGATTCAGATCTAGCTGCTCCTATTTATCAATCCACATATAGTTAGAGTTAGGTTGATATATCAAGGAAATGCAATGTATATTTGTGGCGGCCTACATAAAAAATGACATGTATTGAAGCTGAAGGTAGTACAATTGCTCGGCCATCCGACAAAGTGACTATTAATATGTAATTTTTAGCATTCACACGGGTTCACATGATCATATATTCATATATATTTTATATATTTATATAGGTGAATGAAGTGATGCATGTCTTATTCATGCCAATGATCAATTTGAAAATGACACCTAGGATAAACTTCAATAAAAACTTGGTGAATTTTGTATTTTATAAGCTACTTTATGTTTTTCTTTTTTGACTTACATTCAACAAAAACTTTCATCATTTAATTACATTATGAAATTACAATAAAGATTGGAGACTTTATTATTTATCATATTATATAATATCATTCTATGTATGTAAAGAGTATATTAGTCTAGGAAAAAAACTATACCTTATTAGCAATGATCTAGAGGTTTAAAGAAATTTATATAGTAAAAATAAATATATTATTATAATAATGATTCATTTATCTAGTTATAGCATAAATTGAATTATAAATACTATATTATAACATTAAAAAAAATGCTATTATAAGTTAAAGATAGCACACTACTTTAGCTATATTAAACACGTATATGAATTATAGCTTCTAAATCTATTATAGCATCAATTATAGTTATAAAAGATCGCTATAAAGTCTACAATAGCATTTTTCATAAGCTATTGTATCTATTCATTATTTCTTATAGCGAGATGTGATTTTATTAAAAGTTTTATGGTTAGAGTTTTCATTATGAGATCCCAAGTTTTAAAAAATAATGGGTTGTTACTATACCTAACAAACATTTCAACAAAAGATTTTCATGGATCTCAATGTCTCGAGTAACCGAAATCGCTATTTTGATGGATACGTTTTTAAAGACTTCTACTTCTCTATAAGTTGTTTTAGCCTCTTCCCATCATCCTCTGATAAATTCTTTAAGGATGAACCTTGTGCGTTAGAGTTTTCATAAAGATAGNTTTGTTAATTAATGCCCACGTCTTGTTCTTCTCAATGGCTTCAAGCTCTGATATCACATAAGGAATTACGACTCTCAACAATGATATGATATTGTCCACTTTCAACCCACACCTGTGAGCAGCCCAACACCATGACTTGTGAGCCTGAATTAGCAACCTCGACTCGAGAAGTAAACCACGACGCATCCCTCTCCCATGGTGACACGTCTTGCATATGTGACTAGACACTCCTTCAGCTCTAGTAGCTTGAATCAGCTCGGCTTGGCTTTGCATGCCAGACACATCTTGCGCATGCAGCCAGACACTCCATTGACTCTAGCAGCTTGAATCAACTCGTCTTGGCTTCGTGTGCTCCTTCAACTTAATCAGCTCGGTTTAGTAAATTGAAGAATGACCCTATGTTTTTTACCCTTCCTGAGTTGATTTTGACCCTATATAAGGTAATTAGGTTCAATATGATACTCTATTTCACAAATTCAAGTTAAATTACATTAGAAATGTGAAATACTAATGAGATGAAATGAACATTCCAATAGGAAACGACAACTAGCGAGACTTGGAGTGATCTCGAGGAACAAAAAGCGAACGTACTCAAACTTGGGGAGGCTAAGGCCTACCAAGTAAGTGTCCTTAGTATAGGATAGATTGGAAAATTGTTTGTTGTATGACGACACGTGCCTAGTGGCCCCTACACATGTCATTTATGTTTTATACGTATGATGCTTGATGATGATGTGAATGAGTTATATGATGAAAGCTTATGATGTTTTACAATGATTATGATGTGTTAAATGATGACGTTGTATGATGCTTGATGATGATTTATGATGTATGACGTAGTTATATGATGATGTCTTATGATGTTTTACAATGATTATGATGTGTTATATGATGACGTTTTATGATGATGTTACATATTAGTTTGACAATGTAAGATGATGATATTTCCATAATATGACATTATTTTCCATATTAAGATGATAAACATATTTTGAATGTCATATTGCATTATGATGATAATTTTCCTAGGACACAACCCTAGTTAATGTTAACGAATATGAAAATATGAAGGTTAATGCACATATATTACTTATAGTAATATAAGGATGGAATTAGGGTTATGTTATAAAGATGATTTAAAGATGAGATATTAGAAGGACCTCATGCATTTATGTGTGTACATAATCATCAGGTTAGTTCCTTTCCCTTGGGTGTTGACTTGTTGAGAAACTATAAGCCAATTGATTTTGTAATCCAAAACTTAGAGGGGAATTTGCTTTATGTAGCATTTGTTGGTTGCATGAGCCTTGTCCCTTCCATGAGAAATTTGGATGATTTCTCCATCCTAGATTATAAGTAATTGAGAAGGGATTATTTGAGGCCGGATTACTTGGACATTGATAAAAAGTGTGTTCCTCTCCACAATATACACAAGATTCGGCTGCTGCATGGTTAATTACAGAAGTTGTATGGACTGGTGCTTTAATCATGAAGTTAATTTTAGTCATCGAAGTTAGTTGAGCGTTGATAGAGGACAAAGCATAAACTTCAAGTACTCCTCGGGTCTTCTTTCCTAGGTTTCTTCTGACATCAGCCCATTGACAGTTGTTAGATGCTATTCTCTCTAAAATTTCATATGCTTCATTGTATGCCTTTGACAAAATAGCTCTATTGGGGGAAGCATCAACTACTTGTTTAGTAGCCATATTTAATCCATTGTAGAAAGTCTCCATTTGTATACAATGAGGTAATCCATGGTGAGAACATTTTCTAAGCATCTCCTTGAATCTCTCCCACGCTTGACTTAGTGTCTCTCATCTTTAAATTGTTGAAAAGCGCCAAATCTCATTTCTGAACCGTGCGTTTCTAGTGGGTGGAAAATATTTGATAAAAAAAATTTCTGCTAGATTATTCCAATAATCAATTGTTCTCGGTGCTAAGGTATTCAACAATGATTTAGCACTATCCCTCAATAAATAAGGGAATAAGCTCAGCCTAATCACGTCTTTATTCACTCCTTGAAATCGAAACGAGTCACTAACTCTCAAAAATGACTTTTGGTGTAGGTGAGGATCTTCCGACGGTAGTCCATGAAATTGCCCAATGGTTTGCAACATTTGAAACATCACGGGCTTTAGCTCAAACGTGGTTGCTTGCATTTTAGGTCTAATAATGCATGGATTTAGCTCTTCCACAGCTGGGTGTGCATATGCTTGGATCGCTCTTTCTCTATCATCTGCTAAATGAATGACATTAGTAGTAATTCTCTCTTGATTAGCCATCATCGCTGGATATTCAAACTCCCGATTCACTGGGCTCCAAGTTCTATTTGATGTATATTCTATTCTGTCATTTTCTTTTTCTCCCTCAACCTTCGTCTAAATGTTCTCTCTATTTCAGGATCCAAAATAAATTCCAAACCCGTAAGTGGGTTCATACATAGAATTTTGCAGTAGTAAGCTCAATTCTGCATCAGTAAATACAGTAGTAGAAAATCTAGCTTACTATGACTTCTTTTTTGCTCCAACTCACGAAAATCTACAATAAGTAAAATAACCAAATTAGGTTCCACGGCAACGGCGCCAAAAACTTGATCACTTGTGGATGTATTGTAACAACCCTAGATTTTACCTATTTAATCTAAGGTCATTACTATACCCTGAAATGCGGAATTTACATTAAATGGGCTATTATTATAAATGCACCTTACGCTGACCTTTTATTACCTCATGAAAAACGAATACAAGGGAAATAAAGGAAAAAAAACAACACCGAAACAACTGTCTTATAATACCCTATGGTTTATTATGAGATTACAATTCAACCTATTCTAACATATACTAATGATGCAAACGGGAATTCAACCTACACTAGCCTATTCTACGAAATAAAAAAACAACTATCCTATGCATGTGCCACGGTCCCGGGGTGTGCGATACCGCCGTCGATCTCACATGGGTGCCTTGCCTTTATCTGAAAAGTATAGTAGCACGAGGCTTGAGTATTTCTAGAATACTTAGTAAGTGATCCCTTATTGGAGTTATGCAACAATCACATGCAATGAGATGATGGGACCTATCTTTAAATCTGTCTTCCTACGATGCTGTTCTAACTGGTAATTTTGAACGTGTACCATATACTCTACACACAGCCCATACGTGCGAATATGGGCTCATCAGCTAGTTCGCACACCTTGGGCCACTTTCCTTGTCGGGCGAGCATACTCTAGGAGCTCATTAGGCCGGATACTCGTTAGAACTAGTAACTATCACGACAACGCTATGCAAAGCATAACGATCGTTGTCCTGCCCTTGAATGTACGCGTCCGTACCCTCGTGGTGGAATAGAGGTATCCCCCCAAATGCATGAGCACACATAATGCATAAGGTCCCCATTACTTCTACTTTTGTCATTAGTGAATATAACCCCACTATCATATTTCATGCTTAACATGTCATTTCTCATTTTCAGTCTACTTGTCATACATATTCCTAACGGGGTTAATTTCAAGCAATTTACCGTGTTTCATTTCATACATTTCATGCTTTTTGCATTTTAATATTTCATACAATCATGCCATAATCATTCAAGAACACGATAACCATCATAAACACTACATATCACTTTATGCTAAACATACATTCACGTTCAAAGGTTACGCACGTAAGCACAATGATCTAGCATACAATTTAATGACACGTGCGTGTTAGGTCATGGAGTCTACTCTCTTATTTATAACTTGGTAAACTGTTATATCCGATAAAGCTATATTTGGTAAATCTATATATGGTAAAGCTATATATGGTAAAGCTATATATGGTAAATAACTATATATAGTAGATGGTTAAATCTTGTAAAGCTATATATAGTAAACTGAAACATATATATATCAGCCCGTAGAGCTTTGAAAATGTACTTTATGTATTGTCTGTAATTCTCTCTTACTATACATACGTGAAGTCATCAATAAAAAAAAATCTTTTTAGCCAGAGTTCTCCTTGAACTTTTCTCTATCCTATTCTTTGTGTTCATCTAGATCGAGCGTATGCATTGTTGCGATCCTAACAGTGCGAATCTACAGGCAGGTGCCAACATACAACAAACAACGCGTAACCTAAGCCGGGTGAGCCACTTACTTGGTAGGCCTTAGCTGAAGTACTCCCTAAAATATAAATGTAAGTTTCTAGCTCCTTGTAAACGTCCTACGCTTCCATTGGTGGTTGGTTCCTTAAACGAGGTCGAAACCAAGTTCAGGAGGGTCAGTGACAAATAGGTCGAAAATAGGTTTCCGGAGCCGAATAAGTCGTCGGAGCCGAGAAGCCGCCATCGAGCCGATTAAGTCGCTGGAGCAGAGGGGTGTCGCGTTGCAGACGTGCCACATGGCACAACCAGAGGGCGACGCATGTGCAGCGGTCTGAAGTCGAGGCGCGAGTTATCAGATCGAGCGTGCGGGTTTTCGGTTGCAGTCTTGGGTCTGGGTTGACCGCAAGTGATGGGCCGGGCCTAGACTAAAAGGAAACATTTGCAGGTGGGCTGGGCTGTGAGCCTCGGGTGTTGGATTGGGCTTGCGGGTCTCGGGTCGGTTGGGTTTTTTGCTCTCGGGTCGTGGCTGATGGGTTAGGCTGTAATTGGATTTCTGGGTTGGGCTAAGGCGACTGGGTCGCGGGAGTGTAGTTGGCCAAAGTTTGGACTGGAGTGGGTTGGACTCGGTTCGGATCGTGGGAGTCCGGGCCTTAGGTTGGACATCGTCTTCTTCGCTCGGTTACACAGAGTTTTTCGGCGATCTCTCTCTCACCTCGATAACGTCATTTCGATGTTCTTTTTCCCTTCTTTTTTCTCCGTTTCTAAGTCTCCTTCTCCCCCTAATTCCATTTTTGGTATTTGTTTGGTTCGTAAAGGCCTAACACTCTCGGATCTAAGAGGATTTAGAAATTCGACGTTCTGTCTCCCTTGCCCGATGGTGTACAACGGGTAGGACTCGTCTAAATCTACCCCTGGTGTATGTAAAAGTCTCTGGGATTACTTTTGTTGTGTAAAACGGAGGTTTCAACGTCGATTTCATAGGGTTTGGCTTTGCGGGAGCTTCGTCGGATTTTCTCACTATCTTTCTCGTTTTCACTCTTTTCCTTCTCTGCAGGTGTCTTGGGAGTGGCTGAAGGTTGGGTTTGGTTTCCGTGGTGACCTCGAATTCGGGCGTCCTTTGTGAGTTGTGTGTGAACGAAAACTCTGGCGTTCGTTGGAGTTTTCGATCCTACTGATGACCGTTTTTTTTTATCTGATTCGTTACATGTATATAATAAAATGATGTAAAACTCACAAAACTGATGACCGTTTTTTTTTATCTGATTCGTTACATGTATATAATAAAATGATGTAAAACTCACAAAAATAAGTGTAAGTATACACTATCACAAGTAGCGAGTAATAAGTAAATAGATTCCCAAGTCCACTTCGGATGCATGGTGATTATTTCCATAGTCGTTTTTAAGTTCTATTAACAAGGCTCTCGGAGAAGAATTATTTCTAACCCTTATATTACCTTCAATTCTCTTTGCAATAGAACTAGAGTATTAAAGAGAATTTCATTGCTCCCTCTCTTCTTTCGAATAAGAGAACAATTATGTATGTAAAGTAGCTAATTAAACACACATATAAATCATTAACAACAACTCTTTAATAAACTAAAATCATACCGTTAACATACTTAAACTATATAAAACTCTCTCGTCTCCCCTATAAAGTTTAGCTCTCCATACAAACCGAATTAAACAGAGGAACCCACATCTTAATCATATAAAATTGATAGAATAAGAAAAGAGAGTAAAAAAATAGAGAGTTATCCAGCTTTGTTGCTGTTGTTCAATGGAAGTTCCCTTCTTTTGAGCTCTCACGCCCACCTCTTTGCCCTAATCTATCCTTCTTGGTCTTTTCTTCCTTCTGCTGTCAACAGCTGCTGAATTAGAGTTTTTCTTCTTCTTCTCTAGTTTCATAGTAGTTCACAGCAGTAGAGGCTCTGCTGTCTAATCCGATTTTTCTCTCCCAAAGTGTGGCCCCCCCTTCTTGGTTCTTTTTCCTTTTATATTGAGCGTGAGTTCCTCTTTATGGCTGAAAAGAAATAAGTTATCCACATAAGATGTTCCTCATTAGGTAGTCAATGACCCACTTGGATTGTTGAGTGGATTTAAAATTTCCATGTTATCCCCCATTTGTTTCCAAATTTGCTACTCCATCATGGTTCAACATAAATGTCTGAAATTTTACCACATAATTCAATTAAATGTACAATTAAGATCGATTTATGCCAAATCATATTCTTTTCATGTTGGGCTACGATTTCAAGCTCACTAATTAGAATAAATGAAGTAATAAATGAGAAAATGGTGAATAAGAGTGCAACATTAACTACAAAAAGACTTGATATGACTCTACTTTTCGAGAGTTCTCAGCGTATGCTATGTGATGATGGTGATCATGCCGCGCATGACATGTAGGGGTATGCTGATCTCTAGACGTTTCTACGGACAGATAGCTCGACTATGATGGATCTAAGGGAGGTGCGAATCGCCTGGGGATTCACACTCCCAAGTGTGGGTTGTGTGTAGGGAAGTACTACACATTCAATTTAGTTCGGACTGGAGGTCACCCCTATAATGGTTTTTAACGATAGGTCTCTAGAGCATAACTTACATGTGTTTGCATTTTTATGTCACCCCTATAATGGTTTTTAACGATAGGTCTCTAGAGCATAACTTACATGTGTTTGCATTTTTATGACCCTAATAGTGGGGTTACTTACAAAGTATTTCTCGAAATACTCAGGCCATGTACTACAACTATTTCAGGTAAAGGCAAGACACT